GTCATAAGAGACTTTTGTAAGATGTAAACATGTATGTATCTGCATTTGGAGAATCTTTTTCAGCATGCATTTCCTTATTTTTGATATTCTTTTCCTTTTTTTTGCTTTTGTTTCGCTGATGCAAAAATGTGCTGGAGTACATGCATATATCTGGAGTTTGAGACTTTTTAATCAAAGAATATAAAACTCACGCGATAAAATGATTTTGCAACACATTTTACCTTTAATTTACTTTTAACCTTGGTTCCCAATTACAGTTTTGAATAAATGCAGCAAACATTCAATCTAAACCCAAAATTTATAGCAATAATTAAGATCTACGACGATAAACGTTAGTAAATCTACACTGAGTTATATCATCCTCGTTTTTGATGGATGTCGACCAGTTTCACTGTTTGCAAGAATTGATGATCGGCACTTGACCATATTTAGTACCGGATATGACGTCATTCCATGTCAAGACATTCCCGGTTGTAGTGCTTTTGCGATTTTTCGATATAGCAGAGATCTCTTTTGGTCCCAGTACTCTGTTCCAGATGTTAATCCCGGTCAGCTCACCAACGAAAGACTGGGATTTCTCGAATCCTCCGCCAAATTTGTCCTGTTCTTGCCCGATTATCAGCGACCCCCCACTTTTAGTCACGTGACCTTTTTTTAAGACTGTTTGAGCACGTCGAACGCCATCTTTGTAGAGAATCGTTTGGCCAGCGGAATTATCCCATGTTGCGCAGATGTGGTGCCACTGACCGTCAGTAACATGAACTCCTGAATCCCTAAACAGTTAGAGGTATTTTAAAAATAGGATTTCTACGATGACATCATAGAAGTACCAGAATACTTTGCACACTTTTTTGTGCTGCAATTCAGGTTGGATCCAGAAATTTATAAGGAGGGGGCACATTAATAAACACGGAGGCACGGCCCCTCCTGGAACCCGCTTCTGCAATTTGTCCCAGTTGTATTTCTAATCTTAAAGGGATTAAAACTCCAAAAATTGAGCAAGACTTTCTAGTAGATAGTAGAGTCAACAGATAAAATTACTTTTGATATTGTTATATATCAGTTCATTTTTATAATCTTAAAATTAAAGCATTTAGGATGATCATAAAACAGTTTATATTTGTGATGAATTGTATAATAATTGTAGATAGATTTTCATTCTTTAATGTAAGTGTAAATGTAAATGTAAAATGTAAGTTAATTCAATGCATTTACCATGACACATCTCCAAGCCATACCGATAATCTTTTGCCAACGTCAAGAAGAAGTATTTCATTGATGGATCCTGGTACAGCGTAGCTTATCAAGACTGAATTCTTTTTTGACGTCATCATCCAAAGACAAACAGTGAGTCTCGCCATTGCAGGCAGTTTTCTTTTTACCACAATGTAGTCGGTGACTGAATCACGGCTAAACTTGAGTTTTCCTGTTTCTGGTCGAAAAGCAAACAAATAATAATTGTTAAAACGGTGACTGCTGGTGATTTACATATACATGGCTTCGCGGAGATAGATACTAATTTTATCTAGTCGTGTTTAATTGATGATATCTCACGAGTAAGAGTAGTGACAATATATGAAGTGTTATATCCTAACAATATATTTTCACGCGCATCCATTGGTCCAAAGGCGTCACGTGGTACATTTTCGGCGGACGGGTATCAGGCGATATCCCCCGTTCGAAGGTGATATTTGTCCGCCTAAGTTTTCAGATTTGTTTTTGACACAATGAAGAAAAGAATTGGAAAGTGATAAAAACCGCTTTTTAAAGAGCTCTGATGATGAGAATAAAAAACTAGTTGACAAAACGACATCTGGAAATACAAATAAGTCGACTAAGTACGCTGTGAACGTATTTACGTTGAGAAAATTACTAGCCACTAAAATGCCGGTTTGTTTACAAACGTTTTCACTCGCTAGTTCGTTCTGTGTCTCTTAATTTCGCAAATTCTATGTCTAATAGCTATCATTTTCACTTCAGCTCAAAGCAAAAGAACTCAAGACACTCATTTTCGAATTTTCTGTCTAAAAACACTTGTAATTTACGCTAAACGCAGCAATAAATTTGTAGTTTTTAGTTGAGTACAGACTTTTGCCGCCTTGTCAACACTTGTCAAATGATTAACCAATGAAATAACGAAAAAATTACTGTGAACCAATCACATCGTGTGTAGATTTTACCTTGCACTTTGATGGCTTTTCTTCCTCAACACAACAAAATGAATTCGTTGGGATATAAAATAAATAAACCCCTTCTTGGCTCACTGGGATATCGGCTGATAATGTCCTCGGAAGAGAAATAGTCCTTAAAATATCAAGCTTCGCTTCTCGGCCAAATGTTCATTTTTCGGACCATTTCTCATCCTCGGACATTATCAGCAGATATCCCAGCCGCCAAAAGGGGTTTATTTACTAAATGCCATTTTGTACAGCAAATAAAGCATGATTGTAGTTGAATTCCTCGCACATTTTATAGCCCCTGAAAAAATCTTCCTAAGGGCGGTTTTTTTTTTTTTTTTTTTTGCGGTTTAGCGTAAGGACTACGACTCCCATCATGCTTTGTTGCACAAAATGGCGTCTTTGAACATTTCCTGTTGAACATAGAATCGGTTGCTGTCCCTTGCCAAGTCATAAAAAACCTGTTTAATTAACATGTCATTGTTATCAGAACTTATAAAATGGTTACCTTTAACAGTTACCCTGGTAACACTCTTTGATGTAGCCACGCCAGCACTAACCGCTGTACATGTGTATTTGCCGGCGTCAGAAGTCGTCATTCCAGTTATCGTCAATCTTCCGTTGATCAACTGAGTCCTGTCTGTTGGTAGCCGCCCTTTCTCTTTACTCCACGTTATTACCGCAGGGGGGTCCCCTCTGGCTTGGCAATCGAGAGTCAATTTTTCGCAAGTATTCTTGTTTACCTGCTGGGGTGGGGTGCTGATGAATTTTGGCGCCGATACAACAATGACTTTGATAGTTTCAACCGCTGAGCCAAGAGTGTTGGATCCAGCGCAGACATACAAACCCGAATCTTGTTTTTGGACTGACAACACCTTTAGCCTGTTTGTAGTGATGAAAGAACGCTTGGAAGGCAAAGAATCCATGACTTTTGACCAGGTGACCTTGGGTTTGGGGTAGCCAGTCACGTGACATGACAGAATTAAGTTGTCTCCTTCTTTAACGTAAATCGGTCCGACTGGCAGCGACACCTTGGGAGGGTCTGTTTGAAAATTAAAACGTTGACACCGTCCATTTAGAGAATTCTTTGTTCTCTTTTTGTATCCATTGTATACCCCTATTTCAAAACGTTGTCAGGGAGAACGGCAATTGTCGAAAAAATACTGCATGACCGAAAAGGACTATGGTGACACTGTTTGACATACACAATTTCACTTTTTTGAGACTAAATGTTGAAATTGTTGTCACAGTTGTGTAAAAAAGATAAATTTAACACCGTAAAAAAAGTATGTGAAATAGCTTACTAGTGTTTTTTCTGGATCAAAGTTGTATTCGAATCCCGTTCTCTCTTCTACCCATGGTTCGACACTGTAAAGTGAATTGAGCCGACTTGTGGTGTGAAGTTAGTAAGTTAGTTCACATACTTTTTTACGGTGTTAAATTTATCTTTTTACACAACTGTTTCTTTAGAAACACCGACGCAGCTCACACTAGTTTACCGCTAGTTCCCACCATTGTTGTCACAGACTACTTTAGAGTATAAATGATCAGTTATAATTTCCTATTAATTAGAAAAACTCATTGCTCTTGTCGGTCGTGCAATCTCCACACGACAATCTTTAGTCTGAAATATCAAGAAGCTGCCTAAAAAAAATTTAATTTAACATTAAAATGTTTACGCATGTGTTTCATATCACATTTAAAAATCCAAATCACGTGATTCTCTAACCAGTAGATTTTCTGGTTGGTTTTTTTTTCAAACACATAGAAGAGTTGCATGCTGTCAACCAATCAGAACAAAGATGACTACACTGAAAATCCGCCCATAATAATATTTTTCACATTGTCATTTTGAATTTTGCACTTACAATTGATAATCAAAGGCTTGCAAGGTAGACCTGGTCTACCAATATCACCCTTCTTCCCAGCAAGTCCCTTGGGTCCTTGCGGTCCAATAGATCCTCTTGGGCCAGACTTTCCGGGGAGGCCTGGGGGTCCTGGTGGTCCTCGCTGCCGACTGACATAGACTTTGTGTATGGATGAGTAAAGTTCTTGAAGAGCTTGTGGCGTAGTGTTGTTCGCATCCATCTGAATGACATCTCGGCGAGATCTGGATTTGGAAGCGTTCTCTTTCAATGAATCTTTCATTGGCGTTTCTGTTGATTGAGTTAGCACAAAAAGTAAATTTTACAAATTGTGCACGGTTTTGAGTTGTNGAGAATCCAGGTAAAATTCTCAGTAGGCATGGCAACTGTCAAAGGTTTATATATCACATCAAATGTCAACATACATGCTTTATTAATCAAACAAGCAAAAATAGCTCCCAGCAAAGTCTATTAATATCCCCGTAATTTGATGTCCCAGTTAGGTATACAAATTGAATATTCCCAGCCAGCACTGAACTATCTGATCCAGCAGTGCACTTTAAGTCTAAAATCTCCCAGCCAGGAACATGAAAATTCAATTTGCCAGCCAGTCAAAAAATAGGATGTGGACCGGTTATTTTGTGGAGCGGTATCGTTGGGTACTCTTGACCGCTGAGCCGAGAGTGTTGGATCCAGCGCAGACATACAAACCCGAATCTTGTTTTTGGACTGACAACACCTTTAGCCTGTTTGCAGTGATGAAAGAACGATTTGAAGGCAAAGAGTCCATGACTTTTGACCACGTGACCTTGGGTTTGGGGTAACCAGTCACGTGACATGACAAAATTAACTTGTTTCCTTCTTTAACGTAAATCGGTCCGACTGGCAGCGACACCTTGGGAGGGTCTGTTTGAATATTAAAACGTTGACACCGTCCATTTAGAGAATTTTTTGTTATTTTGTATCCATTGCATACCCCTATTTCAAAACGTCGGCAATTGTCGAAAAAATACTGCATGACCGAAAAGGACTATGGTGACACTGTTTGACGTACACAATTTCACTTTTTGGAGACTAAATGTTGCCAATGTTGTCACAGACTACTTTAGAGTACAAATGGTCAGTTATGATTTCATATTAAATAGGAAATGACAACCTTTTCCGAAATATGTATACTTAGTAGATATCAAGAAGAAATTAATGTTTACGCATATGTTTTATATCACATTAAATCCAAATCACGTGATTCTCTAACCATTAGATAATTTTCTGATTGATTTTTTCTCAAACACGTTGTACAGATATATGCTGTCAACCAATCAGAACAAAGATGCCCCTACAGTGAAAATCCGCCCATAATAATATTTTTCACATTATGTCATTTTGAATTTTGCACTTACAATTGATAATCAAAGGCTTGCAAGGTAGACCTGGTTTACCAATATCACCCTTCATCCCAGCAGGTCCCTTGGGTCCTTGCGGTCCAATAGATCCTCTTGGACCAGTCTTTCCGGGGAGGCCTGGGGGTCCTGGTAGTCCTCGCTGTCTACTGACATAGACTTTGTGTATGGATGAGTAAAGTTCTTGAAGAGCTTGTGGCGTAGTGTTGTTCGCATCCATCTGAATGACATCTCGGCGAGATCTGGATTTGGAAGCGTTCTCTTTCAATGAATCTTTCATTGGCGTTTCTGTTGATTGAGTTAGCACAAAAAGTAAATTTTACAAATTGTGCACGGTTTTGAGTTGTATGTCATCTTATTGACACACTCTTGACGTTAYAAAATGTTCAAAATTCAAGTGGATTCACCAGCACAGCGACTGGGTTGACTGCAAAGTCTAAAAATAAGACTGTTTAGAGAGACATGATGGTGTCAGGACAGTGTGCAACGTCCTCTTATTGATACACTCTAATCGGCCGATCAGCGCAAGAGAATTTACACAAGTTTGGTAAAAAATAGTATTTTTTAGTATTTTTTTAAGAATGACTGTTTTATGAAGATCACTCACACTTCGTATATTCATCACTTTAACTGGAGCACCTCAAAGATTATCAACCCCTCCCCATCAATTTGGGTGAGGGTTTTCCATTTCCTCCTCAAAACCCTAACCCAACATAGACCTTGAAGTGTGCGCTAATTTGCTCGATATTTAATTGTTTTTTCGTTTTATATTCTAAATCTTGTTTGCTCACAAATTAAAACCTATTCTAACAGGTTGTTTACTCACAACTTTAAACTTCATCTAAYAGACAATAACGACCAAAACCTAACCCTCTAAAAAAGTGATGTCCATGTTCGCGGTCACATACCGGGTTGTAAACAAACAACGGTTTAGGGTAATTCTAGTTTTTCAGATGATGAACASCAACAGTTACAACAGCAAAAATATACTTCAGAAAATAACAGGAAAATATTTCGATAAAACGAATAAACGTTTAAGCTATGTCAACAAAACGTTGACAAGGAAGTGTGGAATTATCAGATTTATCATAGCCACTGTAACTTTGGATAGTAAAATAAATTATTGATGTTAAGATCTTATTGATTGGAAAGCTTCATTTGAGAAAGAATAGATATTTGTATTGATAATTATTAGGATCACAATTAAAAACATCTATAAAGATGACGTGATCATTTAAAGTTCTGGCTTAAGTAAACAACATCGAATGAATAATTTCCTCTTTAAGAAATGTCATCAAAATAAGAGCTTAATTCAATGCTGATAGGGAAGAGAAAAGAAGCGAAAAATATATTCATTCTKTTGGACACCGTTTTTGACTTTGCGTGAAGMATGAGACTGCTGGCTCCTCGGACAGATTTCGAAATTAAATTGAGAAACAATTGAAGTTTCAATGGCTTTCTTAATTGCATGGAAGGATATAAGATTTATAATAGTGGGAAGCAAAAATTCAATCCTAAAAGTCTAACTAAAAGTCAATACACAAATGACCAGATTCGAGAGACTATAGCTAATAACATAATTGATAAAATCGATAGTTAAGTTTAAATTAGATATTTTTTGAAATCTTCTGTGATCAAAAAGGAGGATGGAAATATATCCAATCCATTTCCTCCACCCTGAATTTGAATGCTTCTTATAGCTTACATTGTTTTTGATTCAAAGGGAATAGACAAGGAAACGATTTCTGATTGTCGATATATACCCCTTTTGCACATTATTTTTGCTATTATGCTACCATTTTGTCTCATACAACATTATTAACAACATCTTATAAAGCTATTAGAAAAGTATTAGATACGTGTCAAAATACTTTTTTATATTACTGATAATTATATACCCTGCGAGCAGAGGAATTTTCCACCGGGAAAAATTCCTCTGCTCGCAGGGTAATAATTATATGACTGTTTTTAGGATTGTTTTACCTTTTTCTTGACTGTCCTTGAGTTTACAAGACACCATACACTTTGTCTTTTCTTGTATCATGTTGATCAGTTCTCTTTGTCCCTTAGAAGGAGTTCAACCCGAACCAGCGCACCAATGCACAGCACAGCAATTACTGCAGATAGCACAAAGGAAAGCCTGGCCGAGGTAAAGCTYGATTTATTAGGCATTTTCAGATTATAGCAACCTCTACACAGTAGGAATCAGTATCCCGTGAATTGTTGAAAGGCACCAAGAGGCACTAACAGACGAAGCGTTGTACAAGTTAAAACCCGTTTGGAGCTGGTCTCAGTCTCTATCAGAGCGTTGCCATGGTATTTACTAGATATCATACATCATTTTGAAACGCAGRAAAAGGCTTCATGCATAATCTCTTCTGCTCGGCTAGAGATTGCACCCAATTTCTCAGGGACGCACTGCATAAACGAGCAAAATACTTCTTGTGTCCAACCTGGGCGATGAAATAAAGGTTTCTTTTTCGATTGTTTTACTTGTAGATCAGACAAATTCCGAATTGCCCTATTTCATTATGACGTCACATTATGTTTTCATTGGCGATAGATGAAAACCAGTGGGAATTGATATTCTGTCCRAAAGTAGAACTTCAATGTATATATGTATTGATGTCGACATGTATCAAAGATTGCTCATGTACATACTTCTTATACATTTTATTTGATATGCAGTAACTCGATTTGGTCCTCTTCGGCGATCATAAACAATAGACTGTTATGTTATGAAAAACAGTGGATTTGGACCAATTTATATCATCTCTGAAAGTAGAACTTCGATGTATCGTGATTTGATATATGTCATGTAAAAAATATTGCTCATGTACATTTTGATATGCAGTTACTCGACCTGATCCTTTCCGTCGAACATAAACAATATAAACTATTTTTTGATGTCCCGATTATAATGAATTCAATTTGATTCCAACGGTAAGGTATCACACAAGACCTAGTCCGGGACCTAAAATCGCCGTAATTTTAGGCGATTGTAGGCGATTTTAAGTGATTTTAGTCGATTTAAGCAAAAATCATTAAAACCCCACCTAAATCAAAGGCGATTTACTGCGATTTTCGGCGATTTACTGCGATTTTCGGCGATTTTCGGCGATTATAGGCGATTTTAGGCAATTTTAGGTCCCGGACTAGGCCTCACACAGACGTGCATTGTGTTTTTTTTCATTGCGGAAGGTTTTACGTACGATATTCATGTATGCTGCCATCTGTTGTCCATTATAAACAATCTAAACAATCATCGTTCCTTCAGGAAATGTTTGAGACATTTTGTCGCAGACTTCGAGTCTACTAGAGTGTAGGAGCACACTGAACAACTTCCGGTTTCGTCAAATTTGAGCCCGACAGGAAGACTGACAAAGGTATAGACTGCGAAGGAGACTATTCCTTTTGTCCGACGTCGAAGGCCCATGTGAAGACCGGATGTTCCTCATTTCTGTCCTTTAAATTCGTGATGCTTAAGACTTGAGCAATAGACTTAAAAAAGGGGTTGTGGGACACTGAAAGAGATTACCCGTATAAAGCCGCTGGGATGAGGGAGAAATTGCAATATAACCACTGGAATCGCGYGCTTTAAGGTTGTTGTAAATTTGATGTAAATATGATGTAGGTGTCCAAAATTCTGGAAATTTAATGGAAATCATTTACATCAAATTTACAGATTTGGACACTTACATCATATTTACATCAGATTTTTTCCAGTGGTTGATGTCTGGGATCAGATCAATATGTGAGAAATGAGAAATACTTTGGTAAGGAAAGAAGAGAGAAAAAATACTCGTGTGATGTTGGGATGTGCTCTGGAGAACGTAACTCTTAGACTGAGGACTCGATATGTCCAGTTGTAAGAAGGTTGGACAAAGTTATTCACCGGATAAATCCAGCAACGAATGTGCGGATCAGCAAAATCTATATAAAATCTATATGAATAACCTAATCTGGTCATAACGCGTGCACATTGGCCTGGGCTGCGAAAAATAGCTATAATCCTCCTAGATTTTGCCTGATTCGCCCTGTGTCACCCTGTCGTTGTTGTTGTCTATTTTATAAATAGTTCTCAGTATTAAAAAGTATATTGTYCCCACCTTTTTATAGGGGTTATTTATCGCTGGGTCATTCACACCCTGAGTTTTATTGTTYCATACGGATGACATCCTGTTCCGAGATGCCTAAAATCGTTATGCTCTCATCAATATGCTTAACCATTTAAACGAGATCATAAATGAAGTCTACCATTTCTTGACTTTCACATTACTTGCATGTTTTAAGCAAAATAATGATTAGAATACTTTTACTAGATGGATACCCCTGTTTGTTAGTAAGAGTTGAGCATAGACTTTATGCAATGGATGATACAATATGGATGGGAGACCTTTATGTATAGTTTAAAACTGCGAGTKTTAAATCCCATAAAGGTCAGACGCGAATATTTAATATTGCKTATCAAATTCCAACATAAGCTTAAGCATATTTTGCTGAAATATAATAATGAAGTATTATTTTTAAAAGAAAGTTTAAAGTCGTACGCAAATCAGGACAAATTTCTTGCTCATATAAAGATGCGGTAACGGCAATGATTTTTCATTGTGTTTACCTTATAAATTAAAAAAAATTTATGTAAAACAATATAGATATGTTTTTTACATCACATTCTATACACTGATATTGATAAACAACGCAAATCTTTAGATTKGGATACGTAAGGCCATATTGTAATTGATGTAAGCATAAAGGTGGAGTCCATAGTAGGAAATGACCCCTAAAAAGACAATAGGCTATCATGCTCTCATTGCGTCACACAGATAATCATACTGACATTACACGATGCGCACAACAGAGTAAACTAAATATTGGGTCTGGGATAGGGTTAGGGTTTTGATGTCCTTGCGACGTTCCTCTACTCAAGTTGGAGTGATAGTTTCCCCCCTC